TGATATGGTCCATGGTAGATAAATTCTGGATGAAGTAGATGTAGTAGTATTGTGTACAGAATTTGCTTCCTCTACTATGGGTCGTGATGTACTATCAGTATCGATTAAATTAACTATTCGTTCGCCATATTCCAAAGAATGGATTTCAAAAATCTGATGCGTGTGAAATGGCATAATGTACAGGTGATAATAAGATATATACGAATCGCGAAAGATTAAAGGTATCAAGGTAATCGGGCTTATTTAAATTTTATTTTAGTATCGAAAATCAATAGATAAGGTAGTTATTTTGGATGCCAAGTATAAATTCGAAAGGTTTTTTATTTTTTAGGGATAAAAGAGTTAGCGACAACTTTTGAAAAAGCGAGATGGAAAGCCTTTTATACGTTTAAACGATATATACTGTAAATAGTATTTTAATAGATATTTATTGTTATTATTGCATATAGAAGATTTTTCATCTTTATTATCTTTTTTTTTTTGTCCATCGTGCTTGATTACAATCTATAGTATCTATTAATCATGATTTACGCGTTATAATATTAGTGTACTGCACGCGATATGACATTTGGTAAGCAGGCCAAGTAACGATTAATATCCAGAATAGAAATATGTGCATATAAAGTGACAATATACAGTAAGATCAAGGCTAAGCAACAATTAATGGCTAATTTAAGCGTACACGTGTTTAGGATGTTAATAAGTACGAATCGAGTAATAAAAACAAAGCAAAAAAGTATGTAGCCAAATCGGGCATACATGCATGTAAAGTGACAATATTCGACAAGATAATCAAGGCTAAGTAAAATTCAATGGCTAATTTAAGTATATGTACATCTGGGATGTTAATACGAATTGAGTAATAAGAAGTACACAGCAAAATAGTGACTAAATGAAGTATATGCATGTCTAAGGTAACAATGCAAGCAGGAGATATTGGAAAAGTGCAAGTCGCATCTAAATAAATGCTAGGCAGTAATGATGAGAGCTTTATACCAACGTATACTAAGATAATAATGCAGATAGGATATATTGAAAAAGTGCAAGTCGTGTCGAAATAAATACCGGATAGTAATAGTGATAACTTTATACCAACACATATTACTACACTAATACTAATTAAAATCATTTTATTTAAATGCGGTGGCATAAGTAAGTTAACGCGGTATATACACGGTCATTGTGTAAATAATTACCGTATTTGTGTGTAATAGTGGGCTGGGGCATTAATTCGAATTTTTACTTCTTGAAAAAATTAGTTATATTATTCGAAATAACGCCCATGCACGTTCCACACTCTACTCTATAATTATTTTATTTAATTTTTAATGATTTACTTCAAGTGATTTCTTATGTTTGTTTAATAAGTAATTTATCATCATCGGTGTTGTTTAATTTCAGTGCGTATAGAATTTCTATTAAGCACGTACATATATACGTATATAATTTTGAGTTTAAAACCCATTGATAACTTGGCTATTTAATAAGCCCATGAGTTCGAAAATTTACATTTTGACAAAAACCAAGGCGCATGCGCGCTTCAAAATAACGCGCAGAGGGGCGTTATTACGGGCGAATATGGTAATGAAAAACAAATGTTTAAAGTTTAACTGTAAAATAGAATTCGATAGGATAAAGAATGTATGTATATTTATTAAAAAATAATAAAAAAGTAATGCTAACAATTTTTTCAAAAAAAAAATTTTGTTTGAAATAAAAGATGTTTAAGGTGCGGATGAATCAGGAGTATCGTTATTTTGCTTTTGTCTTAATGCATCTTTTGCAAGATCAGTAACTTTTGTACGTTCTTTTGTTCTAAGGTAAGGTTTTGTAGTCGTTGTTTTCCTTCTTCTACTGCTTTTGACCCGTGTGGCAATCTTTTGGGTTG